AATTACAAGCAGCAGAGACCAGGACCCGAGCCGAGGTCTCCCCACCCCGCGCTCTCACCTTCTCCAAAAGTCAATCCGAAGACAGCTACAGAAGAAGAAAGAAATGCAAGACAGTGGCCTAAAGCCCAAAAGGTCGAAGTCATCAGCCACCAAAGCAGCCGAAAGAGTGGGAGCCCAAGAATGCAGCTGCACCAGACCAACATCACAAGGAAGTGTGAGGGTGAAGAGGTACTCTTCACCCTCACTCATTGATAAACTCATTGATAAACTCATTGATTACTCATTGATAAACTCCAAAGAGCCCCCCAAAAACACCAGCAACACCTTGGAAACCTCCCGCCACTCAAGAGTGCAGGTATGACAATAGCTACGCTGAGCCCAGAGAGAAAGAAGGAAGAGTCTGCCACCCAGAAAACATAGGCACCACGGAATGCCCCCAAGATGGGAAGAGGAGCTGAACTGAAAAGAAACCGGATCCAGCACTGAAGTGGAAGCCGGGTCCCACAGGAGGTAAGCATGGAATATCCCCCTGAACCTCCGCAGAGGTAATTCAAGAGGAAGAAAACCTCAGAAGGAACAAATCCGAGAAAACCAAAGGCCCTCGAAAATGAACTGGGGGGTGGGGGAGGGGGAGCTGCACCTAACACACTCATAAAGAGAAAGAGGGTACAAAAAAAAACCTCCCCTGCTGAAGCAGCCCCGGGAGGCAGAGCCCTTATCCATGCCGACCGCCCCAAAAGGGAAGGCAGAGTCCAGGGAATAGGCTTCGAAGAAGAGTTTGCTGGATCGACGCAGAAGTCCTGGTGGGAAAGAGGGGGTTTCACCACATTGGAAGGGGCAGCCCCCGAAGAACAAAAACCCGCCCCAACTCCAAACCCCTCAGACATTTGGGAGCTGGAAAAAGGGGAGGAGGAAAAGACTGAACCAAGGCCTGAACCAAGACCGAAACAACCAATGCCCAAAAACCCAAGCGGGGCAGCTGCATGGGCTTGCAACTAGGCAACCAACCTGGCCTGTTGCAATAAGGAGAACCGATCGTGCAACACGGCTGCCGCCTGATCCCAAAGATCACTAAAGAAGGAAATAAATAATAGGTGCACTAGCGGGGAACAAATCCCGCCAGACCCTGGGTCACAAGTGTCCCCGACCCACAGGCAGCATGATGGATGTTCGTCTCCCTGAGGCAGGGGCGATGGACAACCCACAATTTTGCCCAAGGCGAGAGTGAGCTCGGAAGTACCACGAAGGTACGACCGAGCCCATGGGTTTTGCAGGGCCCGTAGAGTGAATAAGCCCCATGGGAAGCCCAGGCACTGGGGCCAGTTAAGCCGATAAACCCTGTCCGAAGCAGGCAAACTGACTGCAAGTAGCAGTTGTGATACCTTGGGGGCAACAGAAGATGACCACCACCACAACTTAGGCTAAGCCTAATAAGGAGCTAGGCAGACCTCCACTGCCACAACAGGCTAAAATTCCAAAGTGAAAACGAAAGACTCCCCCAAACCTCACAACTAACAGCCAGAGAGAAACATTTGCCGCCGCATGATAGCAATACAGGTTGTGCTAGCCACAGTGTGCCCCAACAGCAAACAAACACGCCCCTACCTGGGGGCAAGGCAGAAAGCCCAAGACTCCCAACTCACCCCAAGGGTAAGAACAACCACAAGCGAAGAAGGTCTCTAATGGGGAGTGTTTCCCAAATGCCACAGGGAAGATTACCCTGAGATGCAAGGGCAGTATTGTACTCACGGAGCACCTAGGAAAGAAAGCCTTAGGCACATGCTGCTCCAGTACTCGAAACTCCTGGTAACATGCGCACATTCGTTTCATGACACTGCTGCAAGGGCGAAACACCAAAGAAAACGAGAACATGGAGCCAGAGTGACAGCGACCACTCAGCACGACTACATCAGTAAAAGAGCTGGAGGGTGGTGGCCTGCCTAACTTACCAAGGCCTTACATGTTTTACTGGATTACATGTTTCACTGAATGCTTCGTCATAGAGAGAGCAAAAAACACACAAAATTTTGGTACTGTGGTGTTCCTCCACTGCTGCAATTGTGAATATGGTGTTATATCCTCTGTTCCATTGAGCTTGTGAGCATACCTCTTTGTTTTCTGAGCATTATGTGCCATGCGTGGCTTGTCAAAGTGTACCAAAAATACAGTAGTTCATATGAATCATATAAGGGAAAAGGTCAATAACCCCAACATCTGTATCATCAAATGTTGGAATTTGTGGCACAAAGTTCACACTCAATCTCCCTACTTTGCCTTACTTGGTGTGCAGATGTACAGTGGAACCTCGGTTCTAGTATGCCCCCTGTTCTCGTATTTTTTGGTACTCGGTTTTTCAAATTTCTCCGAAAAATTCGATTCGGTACTCGTTGTTTGCCTCGGTGTTTGGAGTTTGTTCATACACGTGTATGGGTCCACCACACTCAGTTTACCAGTGTCTCCTGCCTAATAATGATCATGCTTGAATTCTTTTTGGAGAATTTCTCTTTTCTTGTTTTTTCTTTTTCTCGTTTTCTCCTACACACTGTTGTGTGTTTTGTTTGTGGCTTTTGGCCCTTCTGTTGCCAGGTTTGGGTTCCTGTTTTCCTAGCTTGCCCTGCCTGTTGGCATTTTCAGGATCTCGTGGTGTCCCTTCTCTGGCGTCGGACCCGTAGTCTCGGATCTTCTGGCGAGCTTGCTCACGTTGGGAAGTTTTCTGTTCGTCAAACGTTCCATCTCCTCCTTTGCCGGCTTGGGTTTCCGGCTGTGCTTGCTCGGTGGTCACACCCGAGATCTTCCCGCAGCTCCGCCTCTTCCTAGGCTCGAATGAACCTTGACAGGGCTGTTGAGGTTCTGCCTCGAGTCTCTCAACTTAGGTTGGTGGTCAGGTGGCTTCGTTGTTGGTGTCCCACCTGCGTGCTTCTTCTTGGCGGCAGTATGGTTTTTTTTGGCGGTCCTTCCTTTTCCTTCTGTCCCATCCTAGGTAGCTGCATTTGTTGGTGTTGCCTTGTCTTTTTCTAGTAGAAGTTTGGGGCCGTCTTCTTGCCGCATACTGTCGCCTCGTTTCGTACGGCGTTGGCGGAGCCGCTTCAGCTTGCTTTCGGTCTTGGTGTTACTTCTGCGCCGTTTCGTAAGCTGTCTCATGCTTTGTTTCATCTCCGGCTTGCTCATGCGCCTCCTGAGCTGTCCTGGTCTTTGGATTGCGTGTTCTTTCTTCTTATCCTCGGTTTGTTGCAGCCCTTTTGGTTCGGGTTTGTTTCTCGAAGGCTCTTTTCCTGTTGGCATTTGCCTCTAGGGGTTGGGTCGTTGAGCTTCCTGCTCTCCTCCGGCGCAGGGGTTTCTGCTCCTTCGGTCATGGCGATAGGTTTGTTCGGTTGTGGCCGTCTCCCTCTTTTCTAGCACAGAATGAGACTGCTGCTTTCCGGAGGGGTCCTTGGTTTGTTGGTGTTTGGTTGGTCGGGCTGGGGGTGCATCGTGTTTTGTGTCCGGTTGCGGCCCTCCGCTGTTATTTGCGCTCCACAGCTTCTGTGTTCGGGGCGTGCTTTGGATTGATCTGGTTCCCTTCTTCCCTATTTGTGGGTGAGGGTCTCCCAGGTTGTCCGCCGTGTTATTAAAGCTAGCCAGCCTGCGTTCTATCCCTGTGCCCATGACGTTCGTAGATTCGCTGCTCTTGCTGCCGTCTTGGCGACATGTCCTGGCTGACACTTGGCCACGGGGCTTTTGGCGGTCGTACAGGGTCCTGGCTGCTCGATATCTCGTGGTCGTTCCCGGGCCCATTTCTGGCTTATGTTACCTTGGGTTGGCAGTTGCAGCCAGTTGTCTCGACTTTGAGTTGAGTGTGCAGCGACCTCCTCCCGGATAGGTCTCTCTTATTTCCTCTGTGGGTAGTTAGCTCTGGGGAGCCGAAGAGGCTCCCCCAGAAAAGCAGCGTTGAATGTAATGAAACGCCATTTTCTGGGTGAGACCCGAAGGTTCCCCGGCATCCCTCCCTCCCTCCGGTTGGGAGGGACGGAGGTTTTTTGCATTTTTTGACATCCAGCCTCAGAACAGGTGTATAGCCAGTGCAGTAGGTCTGGGGCTCCTTCCCCCTCCCAGGGAGATGGGGAGCTGCGCAGTCAGTGGTGCGGCGACTTGTAACGTCATGATCTTTTGCTCGTTTCTTTTAGGGGAGTTCTATCCACTTGTTCAGCTTGTGGTAGCAATTTTCACCAGAATTGGGATTTGTTTCGGGACGCTTACCTTTCTGGGTGCCTGTCCCGGTCGATGGCAGACATAGAATGCTTCCAACCACACCATGCTTCCTACCATGCTTCCGGTAGGCCCATAGAACTCCATACACATAACTGATGCCAAAGTCTGACATTAACATATCAGCCAGGATAAGCTCCAGGGAGCCTCCGGGTCTAACCCAGCAAATGGCGTTTCATTACATTCAACGCTGGTTTTATGGAAAAATTCATTTCGGTTTTCGTACTGTCTTTGGGAATGGATTAACTACAAAAACTTAGGTATCCTTGTACTTTGAAAGTACACCTGTTCTGTTGGTGACACCACCAACACCACGGCCATGTGTTCTAGTACCAGTACCACACGGTACCGAACTAGTACCTGCGTAGGATTTTTGAATATTATACTCCTCTCTAAATCATTTCTGACTTGCGCAATGTGGTCAGATATGCCGCAACTGTTCCTGTTCAACATGTGCAGCTGTAGGGTAAAGTGTTATTAACATTCTAAAATCTCCATAATGGCCATTTAAACCTTATAATTTCCTAATAGGCTTTTTCTTCTAGTTGTCTTGATGCAAATATCTGATCCACAAAATCTTGACTTTGAACTCCTCTCGTTCATTGCTAACTAAATTCTCAGTTCCCTCATACGTACTTATTTTCACAACAATTTTTGTTGTTCAGGAAAATATTTAAAATACAGTAGTGTGGTTTCAAAATCAGTTTACTCCTTTGCACCTGATGAATATAATACATATTATTTTACACTTTCAGCTTATGAGCTACCTCTGAGTGAAGGCCTCCACTTTGAGAAGAGATTGTTCCATTGCACCTTTGCTACTGTGAGTATATTTATTACCATTTGTGAGTGTGCCTATCTTATCTATCAGTGACAATGATGAATGTGATTTATCCCTATATGCCCTGCCTCCAAGCTTTTTTTATGTCTACTGTAGTAAGCTATTAAATCTCGTGTTTAGGTTTTGTGCTGTATTTGCTCTTAAAGTTGTGAATGGAGGCAGCATCCATGTAAATTTTTGTGGATTCCACTGTCGCACTTATTCTGGTGTGACTAAAAATTTAAGATGATGTGTGTAGTACCAGTTGACCGGTCACGCACAGGGAAGAACAGGAAATAGCCTGAAGTAGCATGTGCTTTAACATTTTTATACTTATGGGGGTTCAGCATCAACTCTTTGGGCCTGCATTTTAAACTTAAAACCAACAGTGTACAAGTTCCCAAGCCTTTTAGGCTTCGTTAATTGAATTTGAAGTTATGTATGAAGTGTGCCTCCAACACCTCACTAATAAGTGCAGTTTGTTTGCACTTATTAGTCTCAGATACGTAAATGTCGCCGATACATAAATTAGTCGCAGATTCATAAATGCCCTCAGACTAGGGCATAAGTGCCCTAGCCTGAGGGCATTTGTGTATCTACCTCTAAAGGAAAGTATGAGTAAGATAACTTTATATCCCAGCAATACTGAATCTTGTATTAATCAGGAGAGAAAAAATGTGGCAATGTCTTATTGAAAATTAATACCCAATTTAACACTTTCGCCCGGGCATGACGCAGCATTGCGTCATCCGTTTACTGGCGGTAATACCGGGGATGACGCAGCATTGTGTCATCCACTTTAAATAATCGCCAAAAATCAGGTTTTTATCCAGTTTTGGGGGGACTGGTTTTAAAATGGGCGCCGATGTCTTCCCATTTTCTTTGTTGAGCCTCGTGGCCCTCAGGCGGCTTGGCACACGCCGTGGGCCCATTGTTTTCGCTCCACTGTTGTGACCAATGTCGCCTCCCCTCGCATCTCAAACGTGTGAACATTTCTGCTATTTTCCGTGGCTATATTTCTTACTGCGGCTTTAGAAACTATCTACGCTTACTCCACGATGGATAGTGATCATGAACAAGGCCTTTCCAGGAAGAAAATTGCGAAAGAAAGGCTTGAAAGGGGCGGGAATTGGGAATGTAGCTGGAAGGCGTCTGAGCGCTCACTCGCGGCTAACGCGTGGCCCGTCTTCAACTCGTCGGCGGTTGGAGCGTGACCAGGTTTTTTATTTTATATGCTAATGTTCCTCTAGAGAATTCTATTGCGAACCCATTGAGACCAAAATGAAAGACCTAGGACGAAAATTGAGGTGACCAGAGTGAAAATAGTGAAAACATTTTATCGCGTTTGCGCGCTCCTGGGTAACTCATTCGCACTTTCTCTGTTTGCTGCGGGTAATTAGCCTGGCTTTTGGAGTTTATATGCATTTAGTGCTGTAGAAAATTTTATTGCGAACACAATGATACCAAATTTAATCTCGTAGGACGAGAATTAAGGTGACAAAGTTGAAGAGAGTATACACTTTTCAGAATTTACGCGCGCTCCTGTGACACCCTGGGACCCAAATCGCACAGTTAAGGGGTGGCGCGCGGGGTACGCCAAAGTGTTAATATGATATTGTAGAGATTGGATAGAGGTCAAGTATAGTATGGAGTTGGTGGAGCACGGTTAAAGTCTATGAAGAATTCCTTTGTAGGTAGGATAGTCGTCATTCTCCATACACACAGGGAAGTTACTGATGTTGACAAGGGACTAAAAAAATACACATAGAAAATCACAATAGTGTGATGCATCAAATGAACAAATCCACAAGGGCCGTGATGAGGGTTCAAACCTATGTCCGAGAGGATCCCAGACGCTGCCTTAACCACCATGCTGCGCTGAGTTTATTGTGAAATTCCCCCCGGTGTGCATGAAATAAAGTGTTCCCAAAAAATTCCTTTTTTCTTCGTAAAATGATACATTCCCTTCCCTGAACATGTCTATGTAAAAATAAATACCAAATTCCACTTACTTTTGCTGTAGGGACGTGGACAAGGTGTGCTGTGACCTCACCAGGGCCTGGTCGCCCGTGCGTGAATCACCCAGACATGGTCGCGCGTGCCATTCAAGCACCGGGTGTTGCCACAGATATATTTTCAATTATTTGTTTTATGTATTTCCAATGCAGTTTTATTTATTTTTTTATTGTATATGATGCATATTTGTGTCCTTTACAATATGTATACAGTAGAACGTTCATGTTCCATGAAACTGTGATTACATGTGTCTGTAATGTTTCCATAATAAATGTTTATTGTCGCAATATTACCTGTTAAAAATCACAAAAATTACAATATGTACAGTTTCACACATTATTTACACAGTAACACACTGTATTACACACTCAGTACTTCGGAAGTGAGTAATAATCAACGAAGTAGTCCATGGTACACAGCGCGACTTCGCTCTCAGTGCACCAGGTACAGATAAATTTTCGCTTCCTGTTTCTCCATTCTGTGTGTTTGCAAATAACGTACTCACGTACACCCTTGGCTTTAGTACTTGTAGGCTGTATGTAGCCAAGCTTGTAAAGCATAAGGTAGTATTGAAAAGATTACAGGAAAAGATCAGTTTGTAAGGAAGTCTTGAAAAGATCACTTTGTATGGTCCCACACAGGAAGAGACTCGGCTTGCCTCAAAGAGTGTCCGTCAGTTAGGAAGAGATTCAGGTATTGTTGAAAATATCTATGGAAAACACCACCATCGAAGCCGCTAACACTGTTCATCTATGCTACTTGTATCAGATGCATCATTACTGAAAGCAGAAAACGATTCATCAATGTATCATGTAAATAAATTGGAGATAGCATAGGATTGCAAGGGTGAGGCTCAGAGCTACAACTGGATACGCTCGCTGTATCGTCCTCATAGGTGCTGTATCACTTGCATCCAACCTTTGTGTTAGGTCCTTATTGCACCTAACTTCACCAATATTATGACCCTTATGTTCTTCAAACAATAAGGTTTGAATTTCACCGACAGAGCGTTATCTTTCAACACCGCGTCAGACAGGTGTTTGGGAGCCAGAGGCGCGTGTGCCACCCATGGTTGTTCATTCAGTACTAAGCCAGTCAGCAGCCCTAGGGCTTGATTATCTTGAGGTTATCTTGAGATGATTTGGGGTTTTTTAGTGTCCCCGCAGCCCAGTCCTTGACCAGGCCTTGACCAGGGCATTCTGGAATTTTTTTCCAAGATGGCTGCCTCTCACTGGAGGTCCTAAGAGTCCATTTTGTACACAACCAACCTTGTACACATTTAGAATTGGTACCGAAAAATCAAAGAGCTTTCTCGGTTGGCGCAGTTTCCCGTCGACTGAGAATACTCGGTTGGCGCAGTTAAGTGGTTAATTGTCTGGGATCCTCTCGGACATAGGTTCGAACCCTCGTGACGGCTCTTGTGGATTTGTTCACTAAAAAACTATATACAGTATAGTGGAACCTTGGTCTGTAAATTTTATCCATACCAAGAGACGGATCGTAATCCAAAAATTTGTACACCGAATTAAATTTTCCCATAAGAAATAATGTAAATTTAATTAATCTGTTCCAGACATCCAGATACATTAACCTAAAAATACTTTTAATGTGGGGAGCCCTATTGGCTCCCTGAAGCTATCTGAGCTGGTATGTGCTATATCAGTTTAAGGGCATCAGTCACAGGAGTCCTTATGCCTACCGGGGACTACGAGCCAGAACCTGGCCCCCCTCTGAGAGGCGCAGGGAGCAATGGCCTATGAGCACTTTACATTTAAAGTATGTCATAATTGCCATCGACCAGGAAAGGACCCAGAAAAGTAGGCGAATCAAAACGGACGTGTCTGGTTAACCTGTGCAATCTACATCTGAAAAGATAAAAATAACTCCCCTTAGAAAGAACCCCAACAAGCAACACTTCGGCAACTAGCTCTTCTGCTCGTTAGCATTATCCCCCCCTCCCCCATTTGAGAGGGGAAGGTAAACCAGCAGCCCACCACTCCAGTTCTTGAACTGATGTGCTAATGGTCAGACAGTCACCTCTGGCTACAAGTTCCTGTTCTGGATTATTGCCTTGTGTAGCTGTACCAGCTATGTATGGTGTGGTGGCCAGGTGTCTTAATGTACAGGCTAGGGTGACCTTCCTTCCTTAGGTGCTTAGTGAGTACTGCCCTTGCATGTCAGGGATATCTTCCTTGGGGTGTTAAGATAATCACTCCCCGTTTTAGGACTTCATGCATGATGTTGTCTTATCCCTTTGGGGTATGTCGGTGGTCTAGGGCTTTCAGTCTTGCCCAGGGTAAGGGAGTGTTATTGGCTGGGTGAGGCGCAGCCAGCTTTACTTCAACAGACCCCCGGGTCGGCTACAACAACAACAACAGACCCTTGACCCCTTAAACAGACACCCAGACCCTCGCGTCGGCTATCCACCCTTCAGTTCTGAAGGTGGATGTCAAAACACGCGAAAAAAACGCCGACCAGAGGGAGGAACGGAATGCGGGCGAGCCTCAGGGTCTCACCCAGAAAATGGTGTTTCATTATATTCAACGCTGGTTTTCTGGGGGGAGCCCCGTTGGCCTCCCGGAGCTAACTACCCACAGAGGAAAAGTAGAGGGACTTACTCGGGCGGCAGTCCCTGCTCACTCCTCAACTCAAAGTCGAGACAACTGGCTGCAACCGTCAACCCAAAGCGACACAGGCCCGACTAGGCCCAGGAATGTTCACGAGATATCGAACAGCCAGGACCCTGTTCAACCGCCAAAATCCCTGCACCCGAATGTCAGCCCAGGACATGTTGCCAAAGACGGCAGCAAGAGCAGCAAACTTGCGAACGTCATGGGCACGGTAATAGACCGCAGGTTGGCTAGCCTTAACAACCCTGCAGACGACTGGGAGACCCACACCCGTGAACAGGGAAGAAGGGAAACGGGATCAACCCAAAACACGTCCCCGGACACAGAAGCCATGGCGTGCAAATAACGGCAGAGGGC